ACACGGCTCTCTGTACTGCAATTCTGCGCCATGTGTTTTCCAGACAGACTACACAAAGAGGCAGATCCAGGATCTATGTGCAAGATGTAATATGCAAAGTTATTAGGCATTAGCAGAATATTCAGAGAGAAGTTTAATACCAGCTGAACTCAGCAGCATCTAGAAGTGTCCTGCTCTCCAAACAGTTTCTTGGTGTAGCGGACTGAAGAAAAGCCTACCTATAGGCCAATGAACACAATTACAGTTACATGACAAATGAGCAAACTAAAGACAACTTCATTCTAAGTATCTCTGCTTCATTAGCACTGCTGTAAAAATGAGAACAACTGATGAACACCTCTAAGACAAGCAGGATATAGCTTACTGCTAATCATGAAATACAGTTTCCTGAAAGAACTAACCTACTTCCACATCAGGAAGGTAGACAGACCAGGAACAAAGCAATAGGATAGAAAAAGGATAACTAAGGTGAATAAAAAAGGGTAAAAAACACACAGCATACCAGTCATTTATATGAAGAACTACAGGAGCAATCTACCCATCTGTGAGCTTGGGTGATACACTTAAGCACTTTCGTGTGGATATTTTTTCCATCCAGTTTTCTTGGCCAAATTAAAAAGCTCAACATAGAAATCAGTAGGGGAAAAAAAAAAAAAATAAATAAACAATCTCTTCACCAAAATAATCCAGTTCAACATGGCAAATGATTATACAGCCTAGAGTATCACTAAGCCTTTCCAAATCCCTATGAGATGGTTCCTGCAACATGATTAAGGATGCACAAACCCAGACACAACACCAAGAAAAGAAAATGACACATTTTCAAACCATCAATTCCCAAAGGACATGCAAAAACACAAAGTAAAAGCAGGTCAACTGTAAGAATAGACATTTTTATCCAGCACACCAACTATATTTACAGAGAAGAGCATCAAGTTCAGTGAGTGCTACGTGAGGAATTTTGGTAGTTGGCAAATTGATACTTAACCACTGCACAGGACTTACGCAGCTTCATTTCAGGTCTTCTAAAGGAGTTCAGACGCACTGCAAGCCCCAGAGCCATGCTGCACATTGATTCCAACCAACCGCAAACATCTCAAAGCAGCTTTGTTTTACTTAAGGATGCCTGTTCACGCATACAACTTAAGAAATGTACCTCAGCTTGCAAAATCTGGTGACATTACATGTCAAGGAAGAGAGACTAAAGAATGGTCTCACAGTTTATCTAAATCAGAAGCATAATTAACTTTAGAGGTGATTTTTTTTTTAACGTATGCACAAACATAAAAATCAGAATGGCACAAACCAGTTTTTTTTTTTTTTTTTTTTTTTTTTTTTTACCATATTTGCTTCTACTACTACTATAATACACTTTCAAGGGGAAGCAATAGAGAAACAAAGTTCACTATTATCTGCTTTCTTATACATACAGACTTAATGCACTTTATATTTACAAATCCATCTCCAACTGACATCAATGGAAACTGTACGGAAAACAGAAACAAAAGTTGAACAAGTTTTCTTCTCAGATCTAATACATAAACAGTACATTCACACAGATATATGTGCACGTGAAAAGGTGATACATTTCCTACAGTGATGGAATCTATTAAAAATATTTTAAATTTTGTAACGTAACACTCAAAACTACCAGGAAAAGTTTTCAGATGTTATTTAATCATAAGTTTGTTACACTCTTATTATTGATCCACCCTTCTTGAAAGAAACAACTTATTGTCTTCGTTAATGACTTAAAGTACGTTTGATGCTATGCAACTCCAAAAATCTACTAGCACTTAACCTCACAGGAGAACCCAGGACTAGATGAGTATTGACTAAGCATATAGTCATATAGACTACTTCCTTGATTAAATTTAAATAAACATATTGATCCAAAAGATGAAAATCATCTGATTCAGAGAAGACTCCAAATAAAATCAGACTATTTTATCATGCACAGATTGTTTTATATTGTTTCAGTTAAATCATCCTGTCCTTTAATATTTACTTCCCTTCTCATCCTGTACATTTTCTCCTGTTTCATTATATCAAAGTACAGAGTCACCTACTAAGCACCACTCATTTTCAAAACTTTTCCTAACAAAATATAGAGTGAAGTAACATTAAAAAAAAAAAAAAAAAAAAAAAAAACCCACAAAAAAGACTTCTGGAAATAGAAGAGCATCTCTAATCCTAATCACAGCTAAACAGATATCCATTAAATTGTAGTTGAACTAGATATGCAGAGAAGTCTTAACAGTATTTTCTTTCTTGCTTTTGCTCACATTTACTACCCAGCGCTTTGAAAATTGCAAGTAGGAGATACGTAACTTCTTGATACTGTTTCTCAACTGATAAGAACTTAGCAATTGAGTTGAAGTGCACAGAAGGTCAGGGCAACAAATGGTACTTTCAGTGTACGCTTTTACAGAGAAGGATAGTTTCTACAACTTCCAGTATAACACTGCAATTTAGAAAGACAACTTTTTTTTTTTTTTTTTTTTTTTTTTAATAACTCTCAAAAATATCCTAATGTTAAAAGCAAGGAAATCTAATCTTTTATGAAAAACACGGGAACTATTTAAAGAAAGTTACACGCATTTCTCTGTAAGAAGGAAAATATATAGAAAGGCAAGAAAAAGATCCATTATAAAAAGAGTCAAATACAGCAAATTCTCAAAATACAAAGAGTTAGTAGAACTGAAGGATCATCCTTCAGAGAATGAAAATTCACTCCTAGTGAAGCCAGAAGAGAGGAAGTATATGACAAGTAAAATGCAGGCTGCAAATTAGTAAGGCAATAAGGAAATCAGAAGACCAGACTGCAAAGGGTACAAAAACAAATAGGAATTAAGCCTATTACTATCTCAGAACTTTCAGGGGAATCATTGGATTTGTTGGAGCTAGGATTGAATAAAACACTTGAAAACGATAAGGGCATCACAGATGATCCGAGTGATCTCTTGTCATCAGTCCTTGCCACAGAAAATGTTGGAAAAACATGCACCCAACATTTCTGATAAAGAGGAAAACGCTCCTTCAAACTGAAAAAATCAAAAACAGGAGAGCAAACAATAAACTGAAAGCCGTAAATGACAAGGGATGTGTTCAGCCTTACTCACATTGATAGGTATTTTATCACTGATTTTCACCAATACAGACTTTTTCTTCAGAACAGAACAGCAACAGACCAACAGTTCTAAAGCACAAAAAGGCTGAGTTGGGCATCACAGCAGCCTAATCAGTGTACAACAGCAGTTAAAAGAACAAAATAAGTTGAAAGAATTAGATAGGGACAACAGAAAAGATGTCACTTTTAATAATAATTTAATAATAATTTTCAGGATTATCTACTTGCTTAGAATTTCTACTCTAAATCACTGACACTGGCATTTGGCAACAGTTTTCAAAAAAGGCCACGGAAGAAAACTTAAAAAGATGGAAAGAACCAAAGTTAACTTTGTAAAGGGAGATATAAAAGAGGACACTGTGGAGCTATACAGAAAACTATGTGATACAGGAAAATAGGATGCTCTTCAACTTTCTCACATTGTCAGCAAACAGCCAATCAGAGCAATAAAAATATGTCAAGTCAAATGTAAAATAATTAAACATTGTACTGTGAAGACCACAAAACTGTGTAACTAATTCACAAAGGCATCTCCCAAGGTAGGGTTCGTGATCATAAGCAAACAGTTCATGATAATAGCAAGGAATATTCTTTGGTGATTTTTTTCACCGTTTTTTGTATAGTTAGTTGTTTTTTGTTTAGTATGTGTGATTGACTGTTTAGAGGCACAGTACTCATTGCTCAGCATTAATAAATCTGGGATGACCTTGCCATAGGGATACAGAAAAATCTTCATATCCTTTCTTAAAGATCCATTACAAGGACTTCCTTTTCTTTCCTCAGAGGTTAATACAATAAGATGCAAGTGCCCTAGGTAATTCCCAGCCTTCTAGATACACAATATAAAATATTAGTATTTTAATTTCTTGCTTATTTCCATATAAAGAAATTAGTGATGTGACAGGACACACAAGTCTCCACAGAAACTCATTTAATAGTATGTGCTTTCCCTTTTCTCTTGCCCTGGTGGAGGAGACTTGAGGTTGGAGGGGAGTAAAGGACAGCAAGATGAAGTATGGACCATGGCTGTAGCAAGGACAATGACAGCTAATAGGTAGGGCTGCTTCAAGCATATGTCTAAACTGCAATGAGTTATCTGTTCTGTGCTCTATCCTACAACTGTCATGCAGGTGGTCAGTAGCTCAGAAATCTACTAGCCTTGGGCACTGGGCATACTGGGTTCCAATCAAGAATTAAAACAGAAGCACTACGCTATCCATGTATGAAATACGTGACTTTTAAATTATAGGACAGGGCTGTCTGAGGAGTCTCTTGCATAATTCATAACACTTCTGAACTTCATATATAAATCAAATACAAGTCTATTGTTTACACTTTGTTGAGCACAGACTCCCCCTACAACTTTTGGTGAAGAGTGCATGAACAAACTCTCTGGAGTGTTGCAGATATGCTCTTCATAATACTCATTCATACACAAGTAATTTCAACATAGTATCATTCAACAAGTATTTCTATGAAAGGTTTCTGCTCATGTCTGTCAAAAAATACAGAGTACAATAAAAATCACAAAATGAGCTACTACTTGTGTTTCTTTTTTTTTTTTTTTTTTTTTTTCCCCCTTGGCTTTCCTAATCTATACAACTCATGGGCATGCTGTTGACAAATCTGTCTGACTGATATTATAGAAAAGGGACTACAGATTCCAGAATGTTCCCAAACATCATATGAGGCTCCAAAAGCAGAAGACTAATATTCACTAATACCGACAAGTTTTAAAATGCAAGCAATCCCAGTACAAGTGAAATGCAGAATTATTAAGTGCAACATAAGAACTGACGTTATAAAAAAAAAAACAAACACACGTCACTCTAAATACACAGCTTTAAAAATAGCCAAAACCTTGACTTACTGTGGCTGTGCCGGAGACAGTTTGTGCATTTGTGTCAGCTGCACTCTGTTCAGAGTGTGTCTGAGCAGGAGGGTACATGTTTAATGTGTGCTCTGGAACAGTGGTTTGGCCTGTGTAGTCTGGAGCTGGATGAGGATGTGGGGCTGTGTATTCTGCAGGTATACCGTTCTGAGGAGGAGCAAACTGGGCTGAGGCATAAGGCTGTGCCATTGTGTCAGGAGGTGCTGTAGCTTCCTGATTACCCTGTGAAGATCAAAGGGGAAAAAAAAAGGAAGAAATGTGTCATGAGATAAAATAGTTTAGCAAGCAAACAAGCATTGCTGGCCTGAAAAGGGCACAACACTAGTTTTCCTGAGAGTATTTCTTATCTGAATTAAATCCACTTTCCTAACACTATTAAATCTTATTACAGTTAATATCTGCTGTTCTCTACAGACTGTTCCTTAACTGCAAAATGCCAGAGAAATCTTACCTCAACTAAAGTCTCAACTCAAACAAGAAAGACGGACAAAACTTAGTTCATTTCGTATGTTTCTGAGTGCAACCGCCAATACAGAGCTCTGGTAAAGTTACCCCATAGCCTGGGATCCATTCTGACTTACCACCTACAGAACTCAATACATGCTCCCTGCACTCTGAGCAGAACTGAGGTGTATTTTGTTAACACACCTGAAAATATTTATGTTAAGTAATGCCGTACACAGTATTCAGAGGTGCAACATACTGAACAACTGCAAACCGCAAATGCAAAAACAATCAGATTCAATCCCAATACCAAGCATTTGAATCTAAAAAATAAATCAACTGGAAAACGCCATTTAACATAGATTTTATTTTTTTAACGTTACTGGCTCTCAAAAGTAAATAGACTTAATAGACATAAGAACTTACAAGGTTATATATACTTGAAGACCACAGTAATTCATCTCCATATTACACTATGCCTGTACAAATAAAACTAAAGATCTCATCTCTACATAACTAGATCCATCCTTATGCTTGATACAAAAGTGAAAAGTCATCAAGCATGCTTATTTGTGAGATATTTGGTATCATAGAATAATTTATGTTTTAAAAGACCACAATGATCATCAAATCCAACATTAACCTAGCACTGGCAAGCCTACCGCTAAACAGTGTTCCTAAGCATCACACCTAGACATCTTTTAAATACCTCTATGGATGGTCACTCAACTACTTCTCTGGGCAATCTGTTTTAATGCTACATAACACTGAGAATTTTTCCTAATACCCAAACTAAACCTCTCCTGGCACAATTTGAGGCCATTTCCTCTTGTCCCATCACAGTTCCTTTGGAGAATAGACTCCACCACGATACAGTCTCCTCAGTACAGTACTCCTCTACAGTAGCTGTAGAGAGCAATAAGGACTCAATTGAGTCTCCTTTTCTCCAGGCTAAATAATCCCAGCTTCCTACAGCTGCTTGTAGTAAAACTTGTGCTCCAGCCCTTTTACAAGCTTGACTACCCTTCATTGGGCATAATTCAGCACCACGATGCTTTCTTGTTGTGATAGACCCAAAACTGAACACAGTATTTGCGGGGCAGCCTCACTAGAGCCAAGAACAAGGGGTTAATCACTGGCATGCTCTGCTCAACCCAAGTTATAATGATACTATGGAAGAAAATATGTAACACAATCCTTCAGGTATAAACTATGTCCAAGCAACGATGCTACAGATGACATTGCACTACAGGCAGATAATACAGGGACTATGGACTTCAAAACGTAGATGGGCTAACTGGCTTAAAAGATTAAATTATATCCCTCTAAATATTAATTATAAAAAATAGTATTTTTTTTATAATTATAAAAAATAGTAAGCATGCAATTTGTTTTCAAAATATTTTTTTCCTTTTCCCACCAAAGCATGCAGAAGTACTGTAACAATTCAGCTTACTTCTACTCGATTTCCTAATTTCGGAATAGGCTAGATGAAGAAAAGTCGTTCTTTTCACACCTAAGGTCATTTCCAGCCAATTTCAGCTACCTCAGACATTGGTGACCTGACCTCAACTGGGCCTAAACTCAGGAACTTTTAAAAACTTGCAAAATCACATTTCAGGAACAAAGGTTGGTACAAGATACACTTGAAAGAGAAAACTACATTTTGCTTTGTAAAAGGCATTCACTGTGTCCTAGAAAAGGAAGACTTTATATTAGCAATCAAAACCTCCTCCATTTTAATCTGATCTTTGGTACTTTTTTACTGCATGGCCTGTGCAAGTAGTATACCTCGCTCCATTCACAATCTTTAAAGTGAAAACAGTTTTATTTACATACTTCACTTGGTTAAGTCAGTAAGTTTTATTACTATAAAATTTCAATGTTTCCAAGGTTATTATTACACTGCAGCTTGCCTGTTAAAAATTTTAAGGGAGGTTTAAAACTTCCAAATGCGTATTTATGTTCTCTTGCACTACAATGGAAAGACTCCTTTCTTATCTCCTTCTACTTCACCTCAAAATCCAGATTAAAAACAGCAATGAATAGATTCCACCAGAGACTTTTACTAAATGTTAAATAAATAGCTGTAAAACTTTAGGGAGGGCAGGGGAGCTTAGATTTTTTTTTTCTTAATCAACTGTTTTATGGTTGATGTCAGCAAATGGTAAGAACAAACTTCTGCCTGTATAAGCATTTTTCACCATGCTGGCTTTGAAGCTCAGTAACTGGCACTGATGGTCTTTAGGCTACTTGTTTATCTTAGATACTAAACATGGCATTAGAGTCAGCAGCTGTTAAAAAAGAGCAATCATGATAACAAAGGGACCAACAGATATGTCCAGGTGCATTTGATCTACATGTTTTTGTACTACTCTGAGTCCTAAACCAGATGTTGCGAGACCACCCACTGTTTCTCATTAACATTGACAAGAGCTCTATGAGACCCTGATTAATATTCAAAGCATTCACATTTAGTGCTAATTACAGCTAATATTTAATTAAGAGGGTTGAGCTTTTATATGATTTCTCACCAGCAACTCCAAACAATTCACAATTTAGATTTACCATAGAATGGCAAACTGCATGGGAAATTCTGACACACACCATGGAGGCTCTTCTACCTCATTCACTGGATGCACTACACTGAGATCTGAATTGCTTAATAGTGGGGACTATTCTTCAATAAATGGGAATTGAAGAGTCAGGCATGTCTTGGTTGGTTCAGATTTTTTTTGTTGTTTGCTGTTTTTTGGGGGGTTTCTACATATACATACATACATACATATATATACACACACACACACACACATCCCTTCTATAGATTCAGGAATTTGCAGTCTTTCCATTAGAAGAAAACGAAAATGCTTAGAGTAGAACGCTAGCATGCAAAGTTATCATTCCAAACAGTATGTTCATTAAATATATTTGGAGGAAAAAAAAGAAGAAAATCGTGCTTATTCTACATAAGGTTAAAAAATATGACAATGAATTTGAGTTCTTAGTCTCTTAAAAGCTGCAGAACTTCTGCAGCCTTCAAAATCTGTGAATTTTTGAATCATAATGAATTCAGTAGGCACAATATTACAAAGTAGTATGAAAGCACACGAGTATAAACATTCTTTACTATTTATGTAGGCATCACACCAGTGCTTGCTGTTTAGATTATGAATTTACATTAAGAACAATACCGTGCAAACTAACATTTGTAACATTTGGTTGACAGAAATTCCAGGTGACACAAAACTGTTACATTTGTATGGATCCTAATTAATCAAAATTCTTTAAATAGTCACCTAAAATGGAATGTCACTGTGTCCTTTAAAATAAGTGAACTAAAATGAATAAAGGAAATAGTCGATCTTATTCACTAAACTGAGAATATGAAATTGCCTTGAAAGCAACAGGAAATATTGATCCTTACTTAGCCTTGTATGCCTCAGGTATTAGGGCAGCCTCTAAACTGTGGATGACAGTACACAGATGTTGCTTAATACAACCTAGACATTAGAGGCTAAACAGAAGTTGTCGTTTTGGACTCAATTCCAAGTACCTTTAAGTTTAAATGACCCTTTAATGCTCGCTTTGCGCATGGTTTTTAATAAAGTAGTTGCTGGCAACAGAAAGAAGAACAAAGGATGGCAGACAGTCAGGCTCAGTTAAATGTTCTGGCCCGAGGTTTAATGAAAACCACATTTCAACTGAAAAATATGCTTTACGTGGCAGTGTATAAAACCAGCTTCATTGCTTTCTGGTTAAATGCTGAACTGTAAAGAACAAAACAAGAAAGCATTCCAACGATATAGGTAAGTGAAATCATTCCTATTGAATATATATTATTCCACTTGAAGAAAAGCTTAGAATTTGAAATATTCCTAGTACCTCAGATCTTAACCTGTCATTTTAGCATCTTCAGCTCTGAAAGGATTTCATAATTAACAAACCCATGAAAAGTGTCAAAACATAATAAAGCAAGCTTGTTGTGTTTGTATACAAAAGGCAGAGTACAGAAAATATTATGCAGTGTTCCTTTTTAAAAACACATTTGCAGCACAAAAAATGTATTTATTCAATGAAAACCATTCTGCTTGCTTGCATTTTAAAGTCTAACTAACAGTTTATTGCTTGTTTTACTCTATTTTCTGTTTGGAGCATCCTGTTTCTTTGGCAAGAGATATTTTACATTTAGAGGAAGCCTCTCATACTGTAGTTAAATGAGCCAAACTGCATCATATCCTTAGGGCATGGAAACAAAGAAGAAAAATGCAACATTACTCTGTAAACCTGCTGCTTATACGAAAGGCTCTGTCAGATATATCAAGCACAGCAGAGACACAATCACCGCTGCAGTTTGCCTTCTCTCAGAGCAAATGAAGCCACTAAACATGTATTAGAAGCCTTACATGCAGTGGCGCAGCTGGTTAAAGGAAATGCCTTGATCTGACTAAAAAACAAGAGTTTCAAGTGAAAATAAAAGTGAAAATACCTGCTGTACCATCCCGCTCCCTTTTTCCTCCATAAACTTAGCCAGCTGCTCTAGTCCCAGGCCATACAGCATCTGCCCAAAGCAAGCATCAATTACGGATGAGGGCGTGTGAGCAATGTAATGTGTGTAAGAGTGTGGATGATAGGGGTGTTCGAGGAGGGGGAGCTAATCCAGGGTTTACTGACCTCCCTCTCAACATCTGACTGCTCCCAAAACCTAATCCAGATGGGGCTCTTTCAGCTTGCTGGGCCTCGCCCCATCAATCACAGCAGGCCACTCCTCTGTCTCCTGC